TATATATATATATATATATATGCACAACATGACTGCAGAGCTGAAACAAAAGTAGATATGAACACTTTAGGCTAAGAATTGAAATTTAAATGAAAGAGTACTGAACAAACGCCACATGGTTAAATAGTTAATTAGTAACTACTAAATTTAAAGAAATCCTCTAAGTTTTTACATGAAATCTATCCTTCACAGGAATTTATTGAAAATAAAATATTCAAATCTTTAAGTGCCTTTGACATGTATCTTCTTCAAATACAGAAAGTCAAAGAAAACATCTTTATATTTAAGAAAGTTTGAACAATACACATGATTTAACCCATTTTGTCCCTTAACCGGCATATTTTCTTTTGAACTTGGCTCAGCCAAAGTGAAACAGGAAGTGACATCAAAGGGGAAGTCTTTAACGAAGAAAACTCTCTGGTCTTTGTTTATTGAAACAAGATTATTTGAACTCTCACTCTTCTTCATCTCTCTGATAGAGACTCAAAATAATCTAAAGAAACATCAGATTCTTCTCTACAGTCTGTGTTGTTAGCTGTAGCACTGCGCTGTTCACATGCAGACATTCCCCTCTGACATCACTTCCTGTTACTTCACAGGCAAATATCTCAACAACTGTTCATCTCAGCGACGTGAAATTTCTTTTGCAATATTTTATCAATGTCCTCTTTCTAAAAAGTCATTCATATGTATTACAAAACTTTGACGTCACCGGCACTTTAATCTTACTTTTGTATCATTAGAATCAACTGAACATTTTTTCTTTGAAAATTAAGTTTTTATGTAGTTTTTGGGAGGAAGTATAAAACTGGTTGGTCTCCTCGTTTTTCCTGGAACGGGATTAAATAAAATATGGAATATCGATAAGAGTTAAAAAGTATAATATTTGATAAAATAATATTATATTGTTTGCCAAATTTTATATTCATAAATGTAGTTTCACAAAAGTCACTTCCAGTGAAAAAAGCATTAAAAAGTAATTTTTATTTTGTAAATCTTTAAGAAAAATTAATACAGCCCCTGTAATTAAATGTTTCCCACTTATATCAAAATTAAATTTGTTTTAACCCCAGATTTTATTATTATTATTATTATTATTATTATTATTATTAATATTATTATTTCAGTTCTTAAGGTGTTTAATTCTTTATCTTAATGTTTTTTTTCTCTGATCATTGGGTTATCTTTTTATTTGCATTTTTTGAGCAGTAGTAACAAAAAAATCTGATTTTGAGGAAAAACACCTTAAAGTTTGAATTTTTCCTGCGAGCTAGCAAAGTTTGTTTCTTTCCAACTAGGAAATCTTAATATACAAATAATATTTGAGGTTCCTCATTATATTGACATCAAAACTTACTCAATACATTTACATAAAATTAGGATTCAGACCAAACAGTAATGTATTATCGTCACCAACAAGACAAATGAAGTCATTTCTCTGGATAAGCTGATGATTTCAGGATGATCCAGGTATCAAAATGTAGATTTTAAAGCCACAAATCTGAAAATGTAGTTAGGTCATTTTGACCAAATTTGACTTAATCCTCATTTCGAAATGATATAATCTAGAAAGAACTAAATGTAAATAGTTGTTGCCATTATGTTTGTGTTTTTATTTTATTGTTATAAAAATTAGGAACTGCAAAAAGGTCAATATATTTTCTTATTCAGTTCTCTGTAAAAACAATCTGTACCACACACACACACACACACACACTTTAAATATGTGTGTAGCTGGTGCCGCAATGCCTTATAGGAGATGTAGTTTGGCTAGCGGCGCCATTAAGCTTCACAATCTTCACCAGCTAATCAAAGCATCCCAGTCATGTTCCCAACCAATCACAGCCGCGCTGCCAACTTACTGACCAATCACAGCGCTTCCCAACCACATAGCAACAAATCATAGCCTCACTGATCACCGGCAGCCAATCAGAGCGTCTCCTCCGCGAGGCCAAGCCAATCCTGTCACAACAACACGCATGATGCAGCCTGCCACTGCGCGTGCGCACTCGGCGGACAGCTGATAACTCATCTATTATGCTACTTTGCTGTTAAATAAAAATCCTGCAGAGAGACGTCGCGAGTCGCCGCTGGATCACCGGAGGACCGAAACCCAAAGTAAACACGTCTCTCTGGGCGGTGGAGCGGGGCTGGCGGGGGTAAATGCACCGATGGTCCGCTCCTAGGAGAGTCGGAGGCTGCTGGCCGCTCGGCGCCTTCAGACAAAGCTCAGCTAATGGCTAACATGTCGAACAACGAGCTGTAACCTCCGCAAATTTTCGAGCTCTGACCGAATAAATCCGCTCGCGGAGAGGTCCAGAACCGAGGAAGTGTCGGATCGTTCCCTTCCACACACGCTGAAGCAGCCGCTAAGACCCCCAGCGGTCCCCACACAGGTCTCCGGTGAGCAGCGCTGCTCGGTCGGCTAGCAGCTAGCTATGTAGCACTGGCTTGCCCGCCATCTTTTAGAGCTCGGTAGGTGGATGTTTCGCGGTCCGCGGGGCGGCCGGAGCGGACCGGCTGCTGGGTTTATCCGGTCGGGTGTGAACCTCCAGCCCGCAGAACGCACCGACACGTCCGCGTAGCCAGCTGCGGGTGGAGCCGCTGCGTGGCTGGATGTGTGCGGGGGGACAGTCCGCTGTTAGCACTTAGCTCGGCCGTTAGCCGTGGGTCGGCTGCAGCGTGCGGCCGGAGCCGAGCGCTCCAGGACCGGGCGAGAGCTTGGTTCGTTACCTGGGTTTTTTCGGTCCTGTCAGGGGTTTGTGGTCCCGCTACAGGGCTATAGACCGACCCCCCGGTCCGTAGAGGTCTCGGTGAGACGGGCCCGTCTGGTTCTGGGTGCTGGACTTTAAATGAACAGTCTCTGTGTTTAATGTTTATTTAGCAGAAAATGTGATGATTTAGCTGAACCCGGTCACCTGAGACCGACAGAAATGATTTTTAGATTAAAATAAAATATTAAAATAAACATGAAGTTCATTATGACTGAGAATAATAATTATTATTTACGAGTTTTTCTTAATAACGAGGCTGTAAACTGAGGCAGAGCTCACCTGTTGATGACAGGATGATGCTCAGGTAGAAAACACTGTTTTAGTTCTGAAACTGGACCCATCTGCTGGTTCTGGTTCTGTTTTGATGCTAATTAAAGGTCTTGATTTTAATGTTTAAGTTGAGATACTGGATTTACTCAGGGTCTCAGTCTGTTTATAAAACAGATTTGACCAAAATAAACTGTTAAAGTGAGAAAATTAGGTTGAAAATAATGTTGGAGGTTTTGATGATGAATCAGAGCAGCTGATGGCCTGTTGATGAACTTTAAAAAGTAGACATTGTTTAAAATATTTATTTAATGTTAATATAATGGTAGTGTTACTAAACTGCAGGTATAATTCCTGCTGACCGTTTGTGTTTTTACAACGTTACAAATGTTCAGTTAAGATATTTTAAAGTGGAGATATTTGTGTTTTTTATTAGAAAAACAGATTTTCGTCTGTTCATATGTGAGATTAATGTTTTTGTCTCGAGGTGCTGAAGGATGTAAACAGAAAATACGAGGCCAGATGAAAAGCTAAAGGTGGTTTTAGACCAGTGGTTCCCAACCAGGGGTCGAGGTTATAATGGTTTTGGATTTTTCATTATAGTTTAGTTTTATTTTGACTTTTTTATTTTAATTCAGTTTTAATTAGTTTTCACAGTGGATTTGCTAGTTTTTATTAGTTATTATTGCATTTTTAAATGCTTAGTTTTTAGTTTATTTTATTAGTTCTAGTTTTGGTTTTTTGGCACCACTTTACATTAAGGCTCCTCTTAAAGAGAGGGCTTATATATGTTTTATAGAAAGGTTAGTATCTGTAAACACTTTATAAATTATTAAAAAGTGTTTATTATGCATTAATTAAGGACGAGAGAGACAAAACTGTCTGGTTTATTGCCAAATAGTGAACCAAATCTGTTCATATTACATATAAAGCTGCTACATTAAACATTTCAGACTAGGTTTCTATCTTGTAAGCACAATAATGTATTATAAACACGTATTTTACATATAATATTGTACTGTATTACTGTGTTATTCCAATACATTATTGTGCTTACAAGGTAGAAACCTGGTCTGAAATGTTTAATATATGAAGCACCTTTAGATGTAAGAAGAACATGAACAGATTTGGCTCACTATTTGGCAAGAAACCAGTCAGTTTTGTTTCTTTCTCAAACTTAATCAATGCTTAATAAACACTTCTTAAAGATTCATAGTGTTTACAGATGAATTAATAACTTTATAAACCATCTATAAGGGGAGTTTTGTTGTAAAGTGGTACCAGTATATTTATAGTTTGATAAACATATTTGCCAAATCATCCTCAATCTTGTGATGTTCCTGTGAGTTAACTAACCAACAGCTATTTGGTTGTTAGTTAAAGCAGTCTAATATAGCGACAAATTCCTAAAATAATTGTGTAACTCAATTTTGCCAACTTAAAACTTGGGAGATTATTTTAGGAGATCCACATGTCCCAAAATAATTTGACAAACACTAAAACTAAAGATTCTATTTATAATTTCAGTTAGTTTTAGTTAGTTTTGTAAAAAGATTATACAGTTTTAGTTAGTTATAGTTATCTCATTTTATTACAGTTTTTATTTACTTTAGTTAACTAAAATGTTTTTTTTTTTTTTTTTTCAATTTCAGTTTTCGTTATTTAGTTAGTTTTAGTGAACTATAATAACTCTGCTAGGGGTACATGTACATTACAGGGGGTACGTGGAAAAATTTACCAGGTGTGTAAAAAAATAAATAAATAAAAATAGGACCAGTGTTTCCCCCACCATTACACAGGCGGGGAGTATGGAGGTATGTCATATGCTGATATTTTAACACAGTTCAGCCACACAACATCAATTTCAATTTCACAAACTTGTGGCGACACATCCTGTTTTGGTAACCGGATATTTCAAAATAAAACTCTGATTTAATTCATTTCATATATAAATCAAACTTGTGTGGGAACGCAAAACAATATTGTGAGTGAACGCAAAAGAAAAAAACTCCCCCCGTGTCACCTCGTGGGCTCCGTACCTGGTTACTTATTCACTTTCAAGGCAACATTTTTATCTTTACGTTTAATTTGGGTTGAAAAGAATTAAACATTCTAGGGAGTTAAATAAATAATTTTCATTTAATAATCAGTTGTACATTATAGTTTTGACAGAGGGGGTGCTAGTGGTATCGACAAAATGGCTCAGGGGTACATGAGTCTAAAACGGTTGGAAACCACTGTTTTAGAGCATTAAATCGTATACGTTGTTTAAAATCATTAGTTTGTAGCTTCATTTTTCCTGTTTTTGTCTTTATGTGAAACAGAAAAAAACAGTTTCTGCTTCAGTTTTGTTAAATGTGAAGCATCTCGACTCGTTTTCCTCTTTCTAAAGTCAAATAACAGTTTAAAACTCACATTTCAGTTAGTAAAAACAAGAGTTTTTCTAAGATCTGAACTAGAACGACTCAAAGACTTTAGATTCTTGTGACTCGGTGGATTAATGCTGACTCAGCAAAAACTGCAGTTCGATGAGTTTAGGGATATAGATGGCAACCTTGGCTTTTGATTGGCGGCTCATTGAGCCAATGGAATGGGTTTTTTTTTAGCGCAGCAATGTTGGGAAAACTGACATAAATCAAATAAAGATGATTTCTTAAAGGTGAAAAAGTGCGTTTGATTGTTTTAAATTTATAAAAATCTGTTGGAGACTCCTTTGTGGTTTACCAGAAACGTTTCAAGGTCTTGAGTCTCTGCGACTTTATTTTTATTCTTATTTATTTATTTTGTGGGTCAAAAGAAAAAAAAAGTTCTGAAACCTGCTTTACGTTTTCTGGTGTTTTTAAAAGTAAAACCCAACACGTGGCCCACCTGCAGACCCCCGCCCAGTTGGCTGGTTTGGTTTCAGTAATAAGGCCTCGGCGTTCTGGTGGTTCAGAACACGGAGAACCCGCCCTGATCCGAGGCTTGATCAGACCATTTGTCTGATTCTGACGCCTTCAGTTTCATTACTTGTTTTCTCAGTAAAATAGGTTTTAGATGAGTTTCTTTGCTGTTTTAGCTTCTTAATGAGAAGAATCTGATGACTCGACTCATTTCCTCTGTCTCTAAAATTTAAAATAAATAAATGATCTTATTTAATCTCCTCTTTCAGAAACATTCAACGCTTCTTATGACTGTAACAACGTCCACACTGAGGTTTTTCACTGTCGATAAATGAAGGATATTTTGTTTTGTTTACAACGTTTTAAAGACCCTCTGTTGTCACACCCTGAACCCCCTCGGGGGCGCGCCCCCCCCCATTTGAGAACCGTTGTTCTCAGGCTGTTGACTCAGACTTGTTAGATGAAAATCAGATTTATAAATCGGCCGGACTGAACTTAATAAAACCTGTCGACCTGTAAACACGGTTAAATTAAATTTTTTTGTTTTATTCGTTATTTTTTCGATACAAAAAGAGAAATTTCCATGCCCCTTTTCACTTGTAATTTATTTATATTAATTCTGAACATTTGTTTAACCTCAAAAGTACAGTTTTTAAATTAAATGTTGCTGAAACAGCAAGTTTCTCAGTGGATCTGAGCTCAAAATGCAGCCTAGGTGGAGTAGTCGAACACAGATCCACTGATCCTTCAACACAGAGCATCTTCAGAAGACAAGTTGATAAAGTAAATTTTAAAAGTCTGTATTGTTCCATACAAGTGTGTACTGAACCTAAAGCACTGTTTGATACGGGTACATGTATTGTTGCAGCCCTAAGTTATTCATGTACAATATTAGAAATTCAACCCTAAAATCATCCATAAAGTTGGAGGGTAGTATTATACACAGGTTATTGATGATTAGATCAACAAAAGATGATTTTATTAGACATGAATTAATACGGTAATTATATTTTTTTCTCCTCCATCCTGACTGAACGGTTTATAAAACTTTCTCTTTATCACGTCTTTTTGCTCCAGAGCTGAGTTTAAACTAAAACAAAACATTTTAGAAGCTGTAAAACAGATGACATCATCAGGAGTGGGCGGGGCTTACGGTCTCTGTGTTGCAGGTCGTGCGATGGGAGTTTGTCTCTTCGGGGGATCCATCGAGGTGACGCGTCGACACCTGCTGCAGCTGAACTGAACACACACACCTGAGCCCTCGCCTCTCACACACACACACACACACACACACACACCTGGGGAGCCGCCTTTTCTCACCTTCAGGCCAGACGCTGCCGTCCCACGGTGCATTGCTGCGTCCCCGTCGTCCACCATGTCGGACGCCCCCGAGGCTGCGCCCGCCAGCCCCCCCACCATCACCAACCCGCCCCCCCCTGAGGTGTCCAATCCCAACAAACCTGGCAGGTAGGACTGAGCGGGACAGCTCCCCTGTGGAGTGGTGTGTGTGTGTTTGCTCACTGTGTGTGTGTGTGTGTGTGTTTCAGGAAGACCAACCAGCTGCAGTACATGCAGAACGTGGTGGTGAAGACTCTGTGGAAGCATCAGTTCGCCTGGCCCTTCTACCAACCTGTGGACGCCATCAAGCTCTGTCTGTTGGTACGTCACGCCACCGACACGCTAACACAGGACCTGTTTGATGCTACGCTAACTGTGTGTGTCTGTGTGTGTGTGTCTGTGTGTGTGTGTGTGTGTGCAGGACTACCACAAAGTGATCAAGAACCCCATGGACATGGGAACCATCAAGAAACGTCTGGAGAACAATTATTACTGGAGCGCCAGTGAGGCCATGCAGGACTTCAACACCATGTTCACCAACTGTTACATCTACAACAAGGTACACACACACACACACACACACACACACACACACACACACACACACACACACACACAC